CATTGTCATTAATGGCCTTCCTATAAAAGCCTACGTAATCTGGTTTACTTATACCCCTGGAGTGCAAGCAGGGGCACTGGAGAGGCATTTAGGGTTTGGGGGGAGGGAAGGTGGAGAAACCAAGGGGGAAGAGAGCTGTGAAAATGTGGAAGTGAATAAGGATGATGGTGATGATGATGACAAAATGAAAACCTTGCATCCAAACATCCAGCTGCCTGTGGACAGGATGGCAGAGAGCATTTGGCAGCCAAATGGCATGAACAATGTTTCAGAATTAACAGCAGGAATTCCTGTTGGTATGTGACTTTCCAGTTTACAAAGCTCCTGGATGATGCCTGTCCCACTGGGCACAATCAGCAATCCCACTGGGCATGTGTCATGGCATTTACTTCACGGTTGAGAAAAGCAAGGGACAGGGATGGGACCGATGGGGAGATGCCTGCCATCTCCATGAATGGATGGTCTTTGACACCAGGTCTTTGACACCAGGGCTGAGGAAAGTTACAGACTGGTACCCAAAGCAGAAGGCAGGCATCAAGGAGGCCCCAACCTCCCAAATTCATAGGGCTCTGAGGACATTCCAGATGCTCCAGCACATCTATGAGCACTGACAGTGAGACCCAGGGAACCAAAGGTCTACCTGCTGTCCATCAGCAGGAAGGCACCACAGGGCTGCCCAAAGTCAGTTCCTACCTGATAGGCAGGGAAGTCTCAGGGAGCTTGCCTAGTCATTCTGCATCTTGAATCTCTGGCCATTGATTCTAAGTCCTATGCTCTTTGTAACTGACCAGATAGTGGGATGAGCCTCCCAGGCACTACGTTGCTTTCAAGCCTTGTTAGCAGTTGAGTGTCCAGCACCAGGGAAGCATAGTGTCACTCTCTTTCTTCTGCTTGAACTAAAGTTGGAGGAATATACTACTCATCTTGGGGTGCTACTTTACAGAAAGGATCTGACAAACTTGCATGGGTGTAGAAAAAAGTGAGGGTCTGGTGAACTTTGTGGAAATGCTGATATATTAGAACCGAGCATGTCTGGCCTGAGCAGGGATGACCTCGTGGAGACAGAATGCCTAGCTTCAAACGCAGAAGGCTATCACAGATGAGAAAAATTAGACTTTTCAGAATGGCATTGGAGGGCAGAAGTTGCTGATAAAGACATTTTTACTTAATGCAAGTAAGAAGTTCTGAATAACCACAGCCACTCTGAAATGGAATAATATGCCTCATTAGACAGTGAATACAACAGAGATTAAATGTATTAGAACACAAGGAAAAGGCTACTGGAGCTGAGAGTGCCTTTCTTTTTTCAGTACAAGAACCACCTTCCTCCTGCCATAAAGTTTAGCAAGAATCCTGGCTGCCTACTTTTCCCATCCTGCCTTACAGCTGGGTTCGGCCATGCGACTGAGTTCTTGGTCCTGAGATATGAGCAGGAGCTCAGCCCTTTTTTGTATCACTTGCTTACAAGAACATCACTTGCCCTTACTTCCCCTCTCTCTCTTTTCCTGTGGGCTGGAATGAGAGATAGATGAGCTAGGGAGCTTTTCTTACAAGGGCAAGGACAAGGCAAAGCAACAAGATGGCTCCCAGGATCCCCTGCTGGTCCGGGTCACCTGCCCAACTGGGTACAGTCCCATGAGTGGGAAGGAGATACTTGTTCAGTTTGAACTTCTACATTTTTGAGTCTTTCTGTTAGAGAAGCATAGCCTGTATCCTAACCAATGTAACTAGTTCTGGGAGATGTTGTACAGATTATTAAGGTATTATATAATAGTTTGCAAACAATGGTTTCTGTAATCTTATAATTCTATGTCCCCTGCCCTTGAATTTTGTCTCCTTTTTTCCAAAACCAGCTCTCCCGACAGTCCTCAGCATGGTCAAACATAAGCACCCCATATGTCAGTGACCTCATTTTCTTAAAGTACAGAGGTTCCCAAAAGTCAAGAACTGTTGACCTCCAGCTTCTTCTCCATCCCTATATCAAGTCTGCTCCTAAGGGTCATCTTCTTTTCCCTTAGAAAACAGTCTCTGGAATGATGCAGCTGATAAAGAAATTTTAAAGTTCTATTTGTGATTATCCAAACTTAAGGACTGGTTAAAAAAAAAAAAAAGGTGGTGCATGATGCATGTGATAACAGTCTTCTGCAATTATTTATTTTCCTTTAGGGGAAAAAAGTTAGAAGTCCAGGCCTCATTGAAGTTGAAGGTTCAGATAACACAAATATGTTTTGGCTCGCTATGTCTCAGGAATCACACAAAATTTTTAACTGGTCAACACACCCAGTCGGAAGAATATTCTGATTTATTAAATGTGTCTCTCAAAGTAAAATAAAGTCATTGAGCTAATGAAATGAGATTCTGGCCTCTGTGCCTGAGTCCTAGGAGGAAATTAGCCAGTGACAGATGGACCTTTAATTCTGTCCCATAGATATGCCATTTTCATTTCAATTTCTCTCTCCCTACTCATGTTTTCCTCTTATGCATAATGCCCTTAAGCCGTGCCTCCTAATTTATGCAAACTCCATGTATTTGAGATTTTGCTCTATAATTTTCCTACCCTAATTTATCCAGTAAATCTGTAGTACATATTTCTGAAACTAATGAAGTTACCAGTAATTATTCCATATTTCATTTTTACCCACATTAGCTGCTTCCCTTGTCTTATGTTTTCCCTGAAACTCTTCTTTCTTTCTTTAAGCCTGTAATAGATATTTAATAAACAGATTTGAAGCATGGAGAATTAATAGATACGGATCAGACATTTTTTCAATGATATGTAAATTGTCAAGGAAGAACAAAAAGGAAATCTATTTCCCCACTGATTAACAACAATTCATAAGGATGAATGAATTTGGTCTTCTCACCAAAGGAGTTTTCAAAAAGAAAAGCTTTTGTGAATTTTGAGCTTTGCTATCATGATATTGAGCATAAAGGTCCTCATTTCATTTCACAACTGCATAATTTGGAAATTATTAAGAACGGCTCTTTCTCCACCTTTTTAAATCATGGGTCAGCTAAAAACATCACCATGGGTCAATTGAAAACATCAGCATCGGTTTCTCCAGATCATCCTCCTTGAATGTCCTCACACGAAACACATTTTAAACCATCTTTAGCTCTTGATTTTTAGCTCTATTAAATTCCTGTCAACACATTCTTTCCCTTCATGAAAATAAAAAGACAATTACACTTTCTGAACCCTACTACCAACCTAGAAAAAAACTAAGATGGAAAACTCATACTACCATTCAATAAATAACTTGTCGAGTCTCTAAAAGCAGTTTCCCTTCAATGCACATAAGTAGGGGAAGGTGTATTTCTGCAAAGGACTCTTCAGGATCCAAAGGAAAGTGGAGTTTATTTGAGGTAGTAATATTTCATCAAGCTTCTGGAGCCACTGACTCAGAACAACCAGCTCCCTACTAATTTATAGCGTGTTCTTCGTGTCCAGCTGCCTGTTGAGCCGAAGGATCCTGTCCTGGGAGAGAATTCATTTGGCTCCTGGAGGAGTCCACAAAGGAACTAAGTAGGGACGCTGGGATGTGAATTTCAAGCAAAACAATATATAACCCAAAACTTGAGAGAAGGGCTTATTATAACGTGCAAAATATTTAGAAAAGAACATAATCCACCTACAACACTCCCAGAACACTATATTTTGCCATCTCTGTTCCAACTTAAACATTCTTGCTCTTAGCAAATAGGAAAATCTTGAAGGAGAAATATATAGGTTAAACTTTGTAAAAAAAAAAAAAAACCGCAAAGTAATGAGAGCATAAGGGAAATAGAAAGGCCTGGGGGAAGTCCAGAAACAGACTATAACTCAGTAGAACCAGTGATTAAATATTTACTTTTCCCCACCAGCTTAGAAAAAGACAGGTTTTCGCTCTGGCAAGATGGGTCCTGCTCTCTGTGTTGCGAACCTCTTGCTGCGGTCCCGCATGCCCAACCCGAGACTGGCAGGCAGGGGTTGAAGGCAGAGTGACTTCAGCTCACTCTCCTCCTCGACGCAGGTGGTCAGGGGGCTGCAAGGAGGTGCTCTGAGGAAGTCCAGGCCCCTGTCCCAGTCCCGCTTAGGCTTTCTGAATCCCTACCGAGACCCAAGCCTATGCTGTGCTCCCTGTGGACGAGTGATGTGCTCTACGCCTATCTGTTCCCTCAAATCTATCGTGGGATCATCAATCATTTAAACTACCCACATGGGCTGGTCCGGTCACGATAAAAACCACTCTGGGATACACTGTTAAAAAATTCTCCCCTTCTAACCAAAAAGGAAGAGTTATACACCCTTTATTTAGCATCCCTTGGAAATGAGGTATAGAATCAAAGTGCCTAGATGTGACACTTTTCCCTGATGATTTTATTTTTAAACCTTTTTGGGGTTGAACACCTCTGTGAAATGTATAATATAAACTCCCTCCCGTCTCCTGAGAGTGTGTGGGACAAACATGCAGCTGTCATCAGGAACATCAGCCCTCTCTCTGTGGGCAGTGACTCAGTGAGGGTCGGGGCTAGGCATATAGGAGAGGCTGTTGGGTCTTCTCCTCGTTCTTGGGCTGTGATACTTCTCGGCTTCCTGAATTGCTTTATATATATACATTTTTTCATCTTCTCTCCAACATTATTGCCAACACCTATCTATGCCTTTTTTTTCCTTGGCAAAATCACTCAGTTCATTAATTTTTAGTCTATTGTACAATATGGACACTCAGGAAAACAAGCTTATTTTCTTTTCTGTAAGACAACCTAGGGTAAGACCCTATGAACATGGGTCTGCCCAATCCAGAAGATTCATGGATCTTAGTGTCTGTCCAGGGGCACTTAGTGACCCTTCTCTTCTGCTTCTTCATTGATTGTCTTGCTTTATTTGCGTTTCAATCCCTCAGACTGTTGGACAAGTCCTTTCCATATCTGTGATGCACCTTGTTATGACCCGATATTGGGTCTTTGGGATCAGGGCCTGTGTGAACCATGAACCAAGAAGGTAAAGCAAACCTTACCTTTTTGTAGAGACTCCTCAGATCTCTGTACTGCCACATGCTGTTTAGGACCTGAGATGCGGCCTTGACCACTTTTGGAGAGTGTCTGATAAAGAAAAGACAAGACGTGTAAGGTAGTGAAGTAGGGTAGCTGGGCTTCAGACGGACGCTGACTCATCAGGAATTTACAGCATTTACAGGAATACACGTCCTTATGGCCTCCGGCTCTTTGCCTCTCAGCTGGGCAGAAGTGCAAGGGACGGTCTACCAGTCTCCAACCTTACTCTCCTCAACACAGCCACAAGGGCAAGTGACAGGAATGCCTTCAATTTGGCAAAGGATTTTCAAAATGCAAAAGGAAGAGCAGGACCTTGAGTCTGAATGCAGATGTAGTGGAAGAGAAAGAAGAGAAAAGTCGTGATCAGTAAGGGCCAGAGTTGGGAGTTTTTTTTTTTAAAGATTTTTATTTATTTATTTGAGAAAGAGA